AGCCTCACAGAGTCTCAGAGGGAGGTGCAAAAAGAAACTGCTCACCAGAGGAGGGATTTGGAGAAAACTAGGAATTCCTCAGTGAGGTGTCCTGTAGTTTGCAAGGAAAATCTAGGAGGCTGTTCCTCTCCCAGGTACTCTCAGTACTGCATTGGCTGTGTCAGAACAAGTTTGCTGTAAAGAGGAAGGGGTCCAGTTACAAAAGCGAATGAAGGTTAGTTGTATGGTAAGGAAGAAGAGGGAGAGCAGAAAGTGGACTGCTCTTACTGCAGATAAAACAGAATAAAGTGCCTTGCAAAAACTTGGTGAATCTGGGGTCATATGGGAGAAGAAAAATAATGACAGACCATCTGTTATCTGGGGTGCAACTAGCACCATATTAATCTAAATCTGAAGTTGTTTTAAATCATCTGCAACAGAAATGATTTGTGATGACATCAGACTATTAGGTCATTGTCCATTCATCATGAGCTGGGGCTCACCCAAATTTCCATCCATAGTTAGACCACCAGCCACTACAGTATAAATAACAAAACCCGTATTTCATTTTTGGCTCATGCAGTTCTTTCACTAATAAAACATTGAAATCAGTGACCTGGCACTGTCCTGTTCAGACCTGTTCCATGGACTGAACTGAGCAGACTGTGCATATTCATTTTTTTGCCCCCAGACTGAGCAGAAGTCAATAAATCAGCTATAGCCAGTGCATTGAGATTTAGAAGAGTTTGATGGTACTTTTACTTTTACACCTCTGCCCTACCACCACCCCACCTGCTGAAGCATGAGCTCAGCTACTGAGGCGGCACCCCTTTCCAAGAACTTGAGGTTTTAGAAATGACAAGAACAGACTTCCCCATGGGAGCTGCCTGAAGGAGCAGTGATACATTTCCTGCATTCATTGTGTGTGTTTTGGGGCTCCTTGATATGAATTAACAGGGAACAAGAGCAACAGCTGAAATTGTGAGGTCTGCAATGACTGAAGTCAAGAGGTCCATTCCCTGCTGCTGCCCCTTACTCCCCTGCTCTTGCTGAGCCCCGGTGATGTGACCACCTTCCACTTCAGTTCGGTGACACTCCAGTGCCCAATTCTCTAGCAGGCTCCTTTGTACAGTACCAGGCTGCTGTGTCTCAGCAGGAATCCAGGCTGCCAGCAGTGCATAAATGCTCATAGCCCAGAGCCTGAGGTGGAGACACACAGATGTAATGCCTTTTATTCTCTTTTGTCAGAAAAATGTAATTTATTTACTACTTCTATTCACTGTTAAAAGAGAGAGGAGCTTGTCGACACAAAAGTAATGCTGCTTTAGTACACTGATAGCATTAAACCAGTGCAGTTTCTTCAGGATGGACCCAGCTGCTGGATTCAAGGTATTTATAGCACAATATTGCCAGGGGAATTAGCTATAAACACATAACAAGCCTTTGCACCCCCCTTGACAGCATCAGGTCACATTTCAGTTAGATAAACAAAAAGACCATCCAGAAGTCCACCTCCAATCAAAATAATAATGCTATGCAAGCAGGGTCTGAATTTCTGCCTATCATGACAGAGACAGATGCATCCAGAGGGTCCTCTCTAGATGGTCTGTACTAGCTCAGAAAATAGGTCCCTCGATGCATCTCAGTGGGCATTAACAGGCCATAGCCAGTGAAGACCACTGACGTTTAAGTACTTCACTGCTGAAGACACAGCCATGATGTTCCTCAAGCCTGAACAATTGGTACCTGTTCATCTGTCTCCTTGCCACTAATGTCCATCTCCCAAGCTGGCTCATCATCCCACTACCTTGCAAGTGTCTGTTCACACAGTGCTGCTGTTGATAGGCAGGCCGTTTCAGCAGGGGCAATAAGGACCACAAAAGCAGATCTAATGCCTTCTTTGTCTCCTTCATGTCAAATCTGCAGAGCAGTGAGGTTAGCATGCATGGAATGAGTTTCTACTCCTCTGCCACACATTGAAATTGGGAAGTCTGGCTATGAGTTTCTGACAACGTTCCCCGACATCTTTTTATGTCACTATCACCACAATTCACTGACAAATACAGGAAGGAGGGTGCAGAAGCCCCTTTCTTCCTTACCAAATCAACACACCTAGAGCACTGAATCTTTGGGGTTAAAACACGCAAAATAGCTTGTTACCACCCAATCTACCTGAACACCATCATTTCATTGACAGACTGTACATTTACCATTAGTCTCTGCATTCCCCTCATCCTTGAAAGAAACAAAGTGTCAGCTAGAGCATAGAATACTTCAAAGTTCACTCTGCCTGAAGTCTTTGAAGTTCTGCCTTGTAAAACTCACTGTTAACTAACCCACAGTTCCTCTGTGCATGAGCCCTTCTGAAGCAAACTGAAGCAGTATTGTATCATCAGGGACTTTCTCCTCCCTCATCAAACCCTAAATGCAGTTTGGGAATTCATGTTGGCAGAAAAAGTGCAGTCACTTGAGCTGACATTTTTCAGACAGGCGACTCATTGAGAGTCCACTCACTGCTGGGTGTTTAGAGAGGGGAAGGTGAAATTAAATCCTGCTGGCCATACAGCTCAGCCCCAGCAAAGCAGCACTGCCCCATGTCTTGGTGATAGGAGGTTTGTTAAAAAAATTCTGCCTATGTGTCCTCAAAATACCACAGGAACTATCAATCAGTTTTCACCCTGAAAACATAAAGTGTGAAAAACAAACTATCAGGGGAAAACCAAGCTCTCACTACTGACTAGTAGGATCAGTGAAACTGTCTGGAACTAACTAGACTTTGGCTTCAGTCCAGCACAGTAATTCCTACATGTCTATCCTTGCCCTCAGGGATCATATGGGGTACTTTTCTTGTAGCGTGCCTAGAACACAGCACCTCATGGCTTTTGGAATTTCCTTCAAGTTGATTGTATTTTTCAGGCTTTCCCCTTCATCTTTGTTCAGGATGCAAGTGAGAAAATCCTGCTGGTTTTACTGGCATGTATTTCCCATCTTGATTCCAGTTCAATTTGTTTCTTTGTACAGCAGTTCCATTTAACTTCATGGGGTGGAGGTGGTGGTGAACTCTCCCCAGCAAACTCTCGGGAATTTTATAGAAAAATAAGGCTGGTGAGGTTACTCCATTGTCTCTGCTAAGTGAAGTTCTGAGATTTTTTAAAAAATGAGCACATACTTGGAAGAGAAAGATTATTTAGGTCTGGAGTTCTGTTTTTTTCTGTAATTTTTCTCTGTAATTTTTCTCAAGGAAGCAGGGATTTTTTGAAAGCTACTAAGTTGCATTAAAAAAATCCTCATTTGACTTGTGTCCTTTTTTTGAAGTGTTTGACTGGAAGTGCCAAGTGTGGTGTTAACACATAGCGTGAGGAGCGAAGGGGAGGGAACACGTGCCAAGGTCACCTCCTCAGCAGTAGCCATGGCAAGCTTCACAGCAGTGATATAAAAACTCCCTCTGATACAAGATACCACTCATAGCTACTTTTTAAGAGCTATAAAAATACAGAGCAGGCACATATTAATTAAAGTAGCTCAGAGAGAAGCTCTGCGTGTCTGTCTTGGCAGCGGGTGACTGAAGGGCACATAGCACGTAGGGGAGCAGGATGTCCATGCACAGAGTTAGCAAAAATATTTTAGTTTTTATCACCTCCAGGTTTGTCAGTGGGCAGCACAGATGGTTTGCAGCTGGGGAGCCAGTCAGCGTGCTGCTAAGAAAGCAATGTGACCTGTGTTGTGAAGCAGTGCATACTGTAAGGAAGCTTTTCTTCATGACCAGCACAAATCTCCTTTGTTGACATTTAAGTCCATTACCTCCTGTCCTAGCTAGACTAGAAAGCACACCACAAAAATCCCCCTCCTCTTCAGCACATTTCTTATTTACCTCTTTGTCCGTCCATTGTTTCCCCTAAACAAGACAGACGCAGTTCTTCTAGACTTTGCTCATAAGCCACACTTCCACACTGATGTTTCCTGCAGAGCACAGGACTCACCTTCAGAGTGGCAAGTTTTCAGCAGAAGAGGCAGTGATGAGGACAAGAACCCATTCAGGCTTCCCTCTGCTCTTTCCCTTCGAGATTAAGGCAAGGCAGGTCAAAAGACAACCAAGGTTACTAGCTGAGTGCCAACCCACCAGCTATGGCCATTTCTCTTCCTTGTCCCTGCTAGAGCCCACCATGAGAATAAGCTTTTGCTGTGAACTCACTGACTGGACACAGCTGGCAGTGAAACACACCCAGCAAGAGGTTGGTGGCTAGCAGGAAGTCTTTCTGGTTCTAATTAGTGATTATTCCAATTCAGTGAAATACAGATAACCCACCTTTTTTAGTTCTTACATTTATCTACCTGTATCTACCTCACCTGCTGCCTTCTTTGTCCAAAACTGGAGCAGGCCTTACACACTCCAACATTTCACTATACACTGGAAACCTTGAAAGCAGCAGAGCATAACTGGGGAATGAAGCCAATGTGGCCAGAGCTCAGTGACATTAAGAGTCCCAATGCCCATTTGCAAGGCAGGGAAAAAAGGGGTATTTGGGTATTCTTGAGGATCTAACACTCACCATCACTTATGGTGCACAAAAGATGCACTTGAAGGCAGTTTTCTCCCCCGTAAACACTTTGTCAAGAAACAGGCAGTCTAGTCTGATGTTTCCCAGAGCTCTGTAAGGATTTCTTAAGTTACAATTTTACTGCTTGGACCAACTCTACTTCTAGTGTAGAGAAAATATCTGTAAAATGGAGCTGGTCTTCAAAACACCACAGTGCTTTGAGACATGCAGCTGAACAACACCGTCTTGCTACTCATATATCACAGGAGTACCAGAGGGGTACAGAAGATAGCATAAAGCTTTGAAAACATATGGAAAGCATTATCTAAATAGCAAAAATATGACCTAAAACTATATACACATGCTTACAGCTCAGATTTGAACTCTCAATAGCCCTTGCTAGATAAGTAGGGATAATGATTTTTTTATTCATAGTTCACTGAAAGGGAGTCCCACTCATATTTTCACACACCCCAGCAGTCAGACAGTCTCTCTGCTTTTATTTACGGCTACAAGTCCTGGACAGAGTCGTGGCACAGAGGAAAAAGGAAAAGCAACTGGCAGATCTCAGCCAATGCAAAGTACTGTCTGACATTTTTCAACGAACAATCAATTGCAAAGGACTTGCTGTTAATCACTGTGAAACAGATATATTTCAGATCCCCACAGAGCTTGATACAATTTTAAGCAGCTTCTTAGAGCAGCAGGGTTTTTTTGTGAAGGGAGTTTGGACAGGCAGTTTTTCTCTTAAGCCTGCATTTCTGACAGCTGCCTAGTACCCTTTTCACAGGCTTGTCACATTGTACCGAGATATATAAATGCCTTCTCCTTTTTTCCTTCTTTTTTGCAAAATCTTTCACTTTTTTAAGAAAAGAAAGACAGAAGCCATATTTCCTATCATCCATAGATGAAGTGAAATTTCTCCTGTACAAGGAAATGGTTTCTTGTTATCTGAAGATGACATCTCCATTTTACAGTAAAAGCCTCCATCCTCTTTTTTTTCTGTTCTACTTACTCCCCCTGTCTCAAAGCTGAACTTATCCAATAGCTTGCAAAGGAAAGTAATAAGAGAAAGATGGTTTTGCTTTGTTTCCTGGCGACCAACACCACTGAGACCCCAGGGAGCATCACAGTGGCTAATTCAAGACAGAAACAAGTTCCATTACAGTTAAGTGGCAAGGGAGGATGCAGCACTAACCTTGGCACAGAAAATCCTTGCCAGAGCTGTCTGCTCTTCTTGGTAGAATTCACAGTGATAGAGGAATATGTTTTGATTAAGAGAAATTATGCTCCATGCATGTTTATTTGGCTTTTGGGGTTTTTTTCCCCTCTACGAAGCTTAACCATGTTGGCTCACTTGCCTTATCCTCTTTACCTGTAAAAGCATTTAACAAAACCCCCTTGATGCAGGGCTAATACAAGAGGGCTCACTCTGGCTCCTTGAATAAGTCCCAGGGAAAGCTGGATATATCTTCTTTGCATTTAGCTCAAACTGCCTCTGCCTTTCTCCAGAACAACGTAGCCCTCAGGGTGAGGAAAAGTCCTTATACCAACAGTATGGTACTGAGTAGAAGAGAGAGAAAGTTCTTTGTAATGGCCCCTACTCCCAAAGAACATCAAAGGGGATGGCTGCCTGTGGGAATGAAGAAGGTCTTACAGGTCTGGACAACTGTGGGGGTCCAAAAGAAGGAGATGAAGGAGCGATGATGAGAATTGATTTTCTGGTTCAGACCAGAGGTGCCTCTAAATCCATACAGAACACTGCAGACAGGTGAGTCCTTGTTACAGAGTCCTAGTTCCTCCAAGACATTCAGGCATGGGGCCAAGGCAGTGAGGTTGCTTCTCAAGGCAACCACATTCCCTTCATGGAAAAACTCCCACCAAAACCATGTTACAGACAGTGCAGAGTTCAGATACTCCCTGAGGAACCAGAGCAATAGAAATGCAACAGGAAGAGAGCTTCCCATGCCTGCCATTACTGAATACCAAACTGAGAATGCAAGCCCACAGGGATATGTTGTCTTCTGTCCTGTCAGTCACAGATGTGACAGCTGGGACCTTTACCGACTGTCAAAAGAGGAAAACCAAGGCACTCCAAATGCCAAGACTGTCAGCAGCATAATTAACATGTCATGTATGGTCTGCTCAAAAGTGCAACACCTACTGCACCTCCAACAGACAATGTTGCCCAGCTGGTAAATCCTGCACCTTGCAATAATGTCTAAGTTACTGAAGAAATTAAGAAAAAACACAAACTGTAGTGTTTAGAAAGACAGAAATCAGTTTGTAGCCCACAGAGGAAGGGTTTCAAGGGCATTGCTTCTCTCACTCCTGAGGCATGTCTTTGGAAATTCATACTCAGTCATATTCTTACAGAACATCTGTTTCACATGGGCAGAACATGTGAAACAAAAAGGATGGAAGCAAGTTATGCAGGGAATTTATAAGCCAAGACATGTTTCTGGATCTCAGCAGATGTGGTGTGCTCCCTGCTAAACTGCAAGAACCAGGCAGGTGGCACCAAGCACCAGGTAAGAGGGAAAATTTCTCTCCCCCATCTCTGGCAGCATACTTTCGACAAACTTAAAAATGTAAGGTGAAAAGCAACAGAAAGAAAAACCCCATGTTGTGAAAGCCAGCCCAAACAGAGAGCATTGCCAATTCTCCCCCTGCACAGATAAAATGGATGTGTGTGCTTAGGTGCAGGACTGTCCCAGTTAAGGTAAAATACTTGGTGCAACCTAGATGAATGCTCAGCCTGAGAAATATCTAAGGTTTCATTTGAACAAATGTAGACCTGTAGCCATGACTGACCAAAATGACCAGGCCAAGGACAGCACCTGAACCCACTATTCAAACCTACCTGAGCAAGCTCACTATCCCAGTGCTTAGAAGTACAGAATTGGTGCCAGCATGGGCTCTGCACTGCTGATCTCTGACACACCAATCAGGGGAGGCACTGGAAAGGAAACTCGGAGGGTGAGGTCCAGGTGTTACTGTAAGGAACAGTGGACCTGTAAGGCCTGGGTAAGACACAAGGAAAGAAGAGAAAAAGCAAGCATGCAAGAAAGGAACAAGAGAACTTCAAAAGTGGTAAGTCTGGTAAAAGAGTAAATTTTTATAGAATGTAACAATTAGCAATGGAGACATACAAAGAAGTTTTATCTATAGACTAGTAGAAAATTTAAAATCATAATAAAATAAAGCAAATCTATTTCTGCATAATAAATATATTGCTTCCCCTCTTCTTTCAGATTGAATTAAAATTATGCAAGTTAAGGATATCTTACAAACAGTAAAGGATCTTAGTTTAGAAAATATTTGTGAAGGAAGTTCTCCTTGCTAGTTTCTGTTTTTGAACAAATGATTTGGAAAAAAACCCTCTTCAATGATACCACTGGCTCCTCAAAAATAGAGCATCTGCAGTCCAGTTCTTGTCTCCACATTACTTTCTTGTCTCACAAACAGAAAAGACCTGACCCTGTGGTCAGCCAATCCATTCCATTAAAGAGTTTGATCAGGAGTTCCTATATCAGAACAAAGGGAGAAAAAACAAAGCAGAACAAAGAGGTGAAATGGACACCCTGCACTCCTGATGACAGAAAAGGAGTTTCTGAGTCACACAGAGCTCTCAACACCCCGATCAGATGGAGACAGGATATAGCACTAGCTTAACACATGCTCAAAATGCTTTGGAGAGAAAAAGTTATATCCAAACTGCTGCTGTAGGCAGGAAGGTCATGCTGGGATTATAATCAGCTGTGTGAATGAGCACAGAGACATACCACATTTGGCTAGATGATTTTTTTGTTAAGACTTGCCAGTGGTACAGGGGAAAAAATTGCCCTTATAATGAAAATTATCTCATTTGCAGCTCTGTGACAAATAGTATTTATCATGAATCTTTGATTTCTCATGCTGCTATTGCAGCTCCTCTGGGATGGCATTAATGTACCATTTCTCTCCATGGCTCCTACTTATCTCAAACGGTCTCTGCTACAAACAGGGTTTTTACCCCTGGCCTGTGAAATTTCTTGAATTATCTGATAAGGGCCAGTTTCAGCCACAATCACAGCAGGTCCAGGATTCTGCCCAAATGTTATGAAAAAATTGGGTCAACTGCACTATACACAGCAGTGTGAAGATAAGGGTTTTACTGAAACTTCTTTGCAGAGGCATATAAAAGTTGAGCATAGCTTCATCATTCAGTAGAAGCACACTCATCTCATGCAATCAAAATCATCAAAAGGGATTGTACAGAAAGAAGTGTGTATTTTTAAAAAGTTATTTTTAACTAAGGTCTAGCACCAGACAAAAACCATGAATATTTAAGGAAGTTAGACAGCAGCACACCTTAAAAAACAATAATTAGCACACACTAGCTTATATTTTCAAAGCATTTTACAAAAACGTGAATTAATTAAGCCTCACAACACCCTTGTGAGATAGTTAAATATTATTAGTCCCATTTTAGAGACAGACAAACAGGCATGAAGAGAGTATAACCTGCTCACCACCACACATGTCAAATCCAGGTAGAGAACATCAGATTTTCCATTTTTTGCCATGTGTGGTCAGATCTCTTAAAAGCTCCTGGTCTTTAATTTAAATGGTTTCCTCTCATCCCTTTTAAGACACCTGTACTTATTTCAGGCTGATATGAAAAGGTACTCACCAAGTGCTATTCAAAGAATCACTGAATCATTTGGGTTGGAAGGGACTCTAAAGAACATCCAGTTCCAACATCCCTGCCATGGACTGGGACACCTTCCACTAGACCAGGTTGCTCATAGCTCCATCCAACCTGGCTTTGAACACTTTCAGGGATAGGCATTCACAGTTTCTCTGGCAAGCTGTTCCAGTGCCTCACCACCCTCACAGTAAGGAATTTCTTCCCAATATCTAATTTAAACATAGCGTCTTCCAGTTTAAAGACCTCAACCCTTGTTCTATCACTACATACTCTTGTAAAAAGTCATAGGAGAGGTGCTCCAGCCATCTGATAATCTTTGTAGTCCTCCTCTGGACTTGCTCTATTATGCTGGGGGCCACAGAGCTGGACACAATACTCCAGGTGGTCTCACAAGAGCAGAATAGAGGGGAAGAATCACCTCCCTTGTCCTGCTGGTCATGCCTCTTTTGATGTAGCCCATGATGCAGTTGGCTTTCTGGAAAAGTAATCAATGCATTCCAGGAACCTCCTGAATTGCTTTTGCTCTGCTGTGCTACCTCTTCAACAGATATGAGGTGGCTGAAGTCCCCCATGAAGACTAAGCCTTGTGAGCACAAGGTTGAGGGCTTCATCTACTGTCTTCCTGGCTTGGTTGTGTGTAGCAGATTCCCTCTGTCACCTGTCCCTGCCCTCCCTTTAATCCTGACCCATAAGCTCTTGATGGGCTCCTCATCCACCCCTAGGCTGAGCTCCATGCACTCGGGATGGAGCTCCGTGCTCTCCAACCAATCACTGACATAGAAGGTGACACCTCCTCCTTGCCTCCAGTGCCTGCTCTTCCTAAAGGCTCTCCATCCTCCCATTCCAACATTCCAGCCACAGGAGTTATGCCACCCTGTCTCTGTAACAGCCCTGCATGCCTGAGCACACTGCTCACAACAAACAAGCAGAATTAGGAAAAACATTTTTTATAAACTCTGTGTTACTGGAAGCTGTTTAACAAAAGACTTGTCATGGGTATTTCCATACTGCCAGAGTGTCACTTCTCATCAGGCACTTGCCATCTGGAAACTTGTTGAGGCCTATCTGCAATGCTGGGACAGCTCAGAATCTGCAAAAAGTAAGGTTTCTTTGCTTCTTCCCTACAAGGAATCTCTCTCTGGCAAGGAGTCTTCTCTAGAAAGAACTCTTATGAATACAACTGCACTGAAAGCAAAGAAAGATTTTTACCAAGAAGACCCTCACCAAATCACTAGGCTGGAAGAGACCTTCAAGATCATCAAATCCAACCAGGCCCTAACACCTCAACTAGACCATGGCACTGAGTGCCACATCCAGTCTTTTTTTAAACATATCCAGGGATGGTAACTCCACTACCACCCCAGGCAAACTATTTCAATACTTTATGACCCTTTATGTAAAAAACGTTTTCCTAATACCCAACCTACATTTCCCTTGGCGCAGCTTAGGACTGTGACCTCTGGTTCTGTCAGTTCCTGCCTGGAGACCAACCTCCACCAGACTACAACTACCTTTCAGGGAGCTCTAGAGAGTGATAAGGTCACCTCTGAGCCTCCTTTTCTCCAGGCTAAGCACCCCCAGCTCTCTCAGTTGTTTCTCACAGGGCTTGTGTTCCAAGCCCCTCACCAGCCTCCTTGTCCTCCCCTGGATGTGCTCAAGCATCTCAATGTCCTTACCAAACTAAGGGGCCCAGAACTGGACACAAAACTCAAGGTGCCTCACCAGTGCCAAGTACAGGGGAAGGATGACCTCCCTGGTCCTGCTGGCCTCAAGGTAAAGCTAAGGGCACAAATGTATGTCAGAAAAATCCAGAAACATTAATCTATTGTGCTTTTGTTGCCTTTCTCTGAACTTACTTTATATGAGAAATGGTCTGGAGGCATCAGACATCCTGGGAGCAAGAAAATGATTCTTCATAGTCACTTTGAGAAGACAAGTTCCTTTATCATATCACTCTTGCCCTGAACTAGTAAGTGACCGAGTAGGATTAAACTTCCAAACTACCTGAAAGTTCAAAGATTTAACTCTACAAACCACCAAATTTAATTTTAACTGGCAAATCTGGCAGATCTACTGCTGCCTTTTTGCAAACCCAGGCCCCAGGTGTTAGTGGAGATGTAGAAATAAAAATAGTCTTTCCATCTTCAGTTACATATGTCCGTTAGACACTATCCAGAGTCCAGGAAGTTAGTTTCATGACAGCTTGATCTGAAGATCCTCCCCATACTTTTGGATCAACTTCACATGGTTATGGTCCACTGACCATTGCTCTGGGAGGTGTCTGGGCTTCATGCTGTCCAAGAAATGCTGCCGCCAGCGTCTTTCCAGCTGCATGAGAGAGCGCAGGCCTCCTTTAGCACAACACTGCACCACCTTCAGTCCATGTGGCACGTAGCTCTCATTGCAGATCCTGCCAGGACACAAGCACAATTTATTTTCGCACAAGCCCACTGTCAGACTCCAGATCTGTCTCCAGTGAACAGCAAGACACTGAAGATACTTTCAGCTGTAGAGTTTAATTACAGAAAAAGGGTAAGCTAACCAAGAGGGAGAGTTTTAAGCTTTGCTTCAATGCCAGACTGCTTTCTGGAACACAGTTACACTGTAAAGCTGGTTTCTCTGAATGGAGGAAGTGTTCTTCTTTACAGCAACACTAAACAAAGCTCTTAAGGTCCATTACAAGCTCCTCAGGAGACCAAAAATTTCTCAAGGCAAGAATTATATGACCCTTCAGAGTGCTGAGCCTGTCACTGAATTTCCTCCCTGGATGAGTTCTGAGTTACAACATCTGCACTTTACAAACAACAGCGAGCACAACAAGGAGAAGATACTCATTTCAAACAGAGACTAGACACTTGTTAAGAAAAGATTTTTGGGGAGACTTTGAGAAAGTGAAGAAGACTTCTGATATGACTGTCCTTCAGACTCTTTTCCTGATCTGTCCTTCAAAAGAAGTACAAAAATGGAGGAGAAGATGGAGAGCAAGAACAGAAGACTGGTGAGGAAGAATAGAAAGAGGGAAAAACAAGAGCTGCAGTTCAGAGACCAATGGTGGGTTGAGGGGAGATGGGTATAAACAAAAACAAAACCAGTAAGAAACGCAATACAAACAACTAAAACCCTTACACTCAGCCTACATGGGCTTGCTATACCTGGTTTCCAGATCAGCTGCTGCCTGGAGCATCTCTGGAGTGACTGTGTCTGTGTTATAGAAGTCCTTGATGCCTTGCAGCAGCTCTGCCCTGCGGGGCTCAGGTAGGCTGTCTGCATTCAGCAGGGCGCGCGCCCCCGAGCGCACTTGCCTGCGCAGAGGGTCCTCCAGGAGACGCACGCCTTCCTCGGAGCCGATGGGAGCCCCAAACTCCTGGGCCAGCTGTTGCTTCAGGTGGTTGTCATAGTAATTGGAGATGGCATGGCAGGATGTGCAGAGGAGGAGCACATCGTGTGAGTTGTGGTCCTTCATCTGGATGGGGAAGTGTCTTCGGTATTCATGAGGAACAACATTCTTCCTAGAGAAGACAAAACAGGCAGCTCATTGCATTTGTCTGGAGCTGCTGCTACCCAGTTCCTCCTCCTCCTGCCCCAGAAAGGCTCAGCTAAAACTAGAAGTCCAGGTAAGCAAAGATTACCAGGACATATAGTACAGAAAGTGATTACTTTTATTATTTTCTGCATTTCTCTTTTTTCCTTTCCAAAAATTCATCACTTTCAATTAAAGATTCCTACTGTAAAAAAAAAAAGCAAACCTAAAAATCAAGTAATGCACTATGAGAAGTATACTTCTCAACTAATCAGTAGCAGACAAAAAGACAAAGAGAAAAATCTTGTTCTTTTTGACCTCATGAGCTTTAGGCTCACCTAAACCTTTCAAAAGTAAAAGATTAAGTAGTGGAAGGAATAGTACAGCTCTTTTCGGGTGGGTATGCCACCCACCCAGTGTGTGTCAGCACACAGCTGCCCCTGCCACTCAAACTGCAGCACATACATGTTCCACAGGCTTTGATGTCTCCTTGGATCAGTATCTCCTGCCTCTGTAAGAGGAAAGGCTGGTCTCTTCAGTGTCTCACACAGCCAAACAACTGCAGAGCACTCAAACAGTGTCCCATCCAGGAGATGAAGAAGCACAATGAAGGCCACTAACCAAGCCTCTGGATGCCAAAGTTGATGCAGACCTCAGCCCTGTTTTAGAAGATGCAATTTTCTCCTACCCACTAAACAACTCACCGGATATAGGATTCTCGCTTGCCACACACAACACAGAGGTTTTCTTTGACTGTCAGATAATAATCAACCTGGGACTCGGGACGTCCTGAAGGCTCAAAACGCAGCTTCACAACAAAAGGGTCTGTGCTAACTAGCTCTAAAAGGATAAAGGCAAAGAGAAAATATTCAATACAAATTGTATTGGAGAGCTAAAATAACAATGCTACAATGTAAGAGTCATCCTAGTGAATTCCCAACAGTACTTCCAATAAGAAAGGATACCAAAAAAATTATGCTCCATTAGGAAGATGAGAGGAGAGAGAGAGGGGAGAGAAAGGAGAGAGAGAGGAGCATTTCAAATACCAACAGGAAAATGGTATGCCTACCTCCAATCCCCTTGTCCAAATACCACTGAGCCTTCTTGCGATCACAAGTGCACAGGGGCTGTCCATCTGGTGCATGCAGGAAGCAGTTGTCATACAGTGGAGATTTTCTATGAAACAAGGCCAGTATTACAACAGCTATAATAGCATGCAAAAAACCCCAGAGCTTTCTATAACCCTGTGTGCCACACTGCAGTTCAGGCAGCTTCCTCTGAATCACAGGAGTACCTCTAAACACAAACTTGAGGCTGCTGAGACTCGACAGTCTGCTGCTTAGGGAAGCAGTACATCTGAAAATTTATCCAGGGCTCACCAACTGACTCTAAGGTATCTTTGCTCTCCTGCTGCCAAGAGAATTGTAATTCTTGAACCCCAATTTTCAAGAGATGCCACCAGTGAAGACAGCATTTAAAAAAAAAATTGAAATAGAAAACAAAAGAGAATTGAAGTTACAAAAGATGATGAGCTAAGAGTAAGCTCAAAGAGAGCACTAACTTACAGGCAGGGCACTTTCAAGGATCGGCTGCCTAAGCTACATTTTAGTGTTTTTTAATAAAAACTTTTCTAAAATTTAGTGTGAATAGCAATTACTTTATTCACTCAAGAGAAATGGTCCAAAACCACTCCTGCACTAGGAACCTGAGCACATGAGTTCAGCGCTGGGAACTTGAACACATGAGTTCAGGAGAATAACAAAGCTGGGCTGATGCCTTCAAACACAATCTTTGGCAGTGACAAGAAGTCCTGTGTGAGCAGTCCCTGGCCGTTTGTGGCAGTGTGTGGAAGGGCTCTGTTTTGCAGAAAACATTCCTTACTCTGCCAACCTCCTTCAAACAAAATTGAAGCATGGAGCAGGCTGGGCTCAGAGAGGACCTGGGAGGAGCTGGCCAGAGATGTCACAATACACTGCAGAAAAGTTTCCTTTGCTCTCTACAGTGAGATTGTACAAATTAGTTCTCAGCAGAGCTCTACCAGTTAAAAAGGTTGATTCATAGGCTATCTCCTTCCACTGAGCATCCACAGCTCAACTCAGCCACCATGATAATTTCAGTACTTCCCAACTCTAAATGAATAAACATTAAAACTAAACAGACTTAAACAGAAAGGAAGAGTGAAAAAGGACTTTTGAAACCACATCCAGTGTTATCACAGACTAGAACCACATTGCAGTAAATACTGTAAAAAGCAGTGAGTCTACAGATCTCTCATGAAGTCAAGCACAGTTAAAAACAAAAAGTAAATAAACATATATGGAGAGATCTTAATTTATCTTGGAATGTAATTTTGTTTAAATTTTAATCCTCCCATGAGATGCAGTCCTCCTGTTTTGTATTACATAGCCTCCAAAAAAAATTTAAAATAAATATGAGGGACTTGCTCTGTAAAAGAGAATACTGTTAATCACCGCTAATGAAATCAATACTATTGACTACACTAAAATTTCTCCATTGCCAATCCTATAAACTTGAAAAAAAGAAAATAAATACAAAAATTTATTTCTTTCCCAATGATATTTTAATGTAATTTATGTCCAATGACAAATTTTATTAGATTGTATCCTAACAAAAGCAAACATACAGATACCCCAGATCTTCCACTGCACTGAGCTTAAAGCAACTTTTCCAACTTGTTTTTAATTTAAAAACAACTGAACTCTTGCTAGCAAAAGCTCCTAAGAATTTAGGATTCACTCCAAAAAATCATCTTCAAGAATGGTAATCCTGAATCCAGCAATAGCCGTCTCTGCAAGGTTAAAGCAGCACTATTGTTTCCTCTTGCCCCCTGGCCAACAGAGAAGGGCACTGCTTTGCTGCTACCACAGGCTGTTCCTCCCTGTACCCTCTGGCTCCTCACACAGCATGTCTTACCCCTGCTAACCTCAGCTTTCAGCCCTGCTGTCTCTGTGGCCACAGTGACATGGGACAGCAAAGGGAAAACAACAGTCCACGAGGCAGATCCTGATGAAAGGACAAGCTCTGTGCAGTTGCCACCTTTTCCTTGGAGAAGACAGGGCACAGCTGTTTGAGCAGCAGAATCACAGAACATGCCAAGTTGGAAGGGACCCCCCAGGATCATTGAGTCCAACTCCTAGCCCTGCTCAGGACACCCAAGAATAACACCTGGAAAGCCAACT